AAGCGCAGCAACTACTTACACAGGCAGGGTAGGCAATGTACGATGAAGTCGTGCACGCAATGTACGTTGTGGGCGTGGACTCAAGCGTGTAGGACAATAGAAGTATAGAACTGGTTTGCTAAACGGAGTGTTTACTGCGATGAGGGTAGCAAAATAGGTAAGATTTGCTTACAGCTCGATGTGCTCGGGCCGTGCGGTACCAGGACGGCAGAAGTCACGCAGAAACCACACCTCGCTCGATATGTCACTTCGCAAATATGCACCCCGAATATTTGGCTCGTATTTAATATTTGTTGATTTACTTAAGAATTAATATTTTGACAACAAGAAATAAATCTTTCACACGTCTACTCGATTTCGAGGTCCGGGAGGGAGGAATAGTATATAAAAAGTAATAGTATTATAAAAGCATTGTTCTGATACGTTAGCACACTATGACTGACTGTCACTTGTTTTTACATTGTGGAGTCATTTTAGACATTGGTTGTCTACATCACCATGGATTTAACTCGTGAAAATTTTCGTAGTATGATTTTCTACGACTTAGTGTAATGTAACAGCTCAGCGGAGCTTCGCTCGGCTTCAAGCTGCTTTTGGCGATGAAGCACCATGTAACACGACTATTTATAGGTGGTTTGCAGAATTCAAACGCGGTCGTGTGAATCTCAGTGACGAATTTCGTGATGGTCGCCTGTCCACTGCTGTGAACAACAAAAACATCGATGTTGTGCGCCGTATGATCAAAACAGACAGGTGTGTGACATACCATGAGATTTGGGCATCTTTAGGCATAGGCATGAGTCAAATACAATCAATACTACACAAACATTTGAGTGTGAAAAAGCTGTGCTCTCGGTGGATCCCACACAATTTGACTGAGGCTCAAAAAACGGATCGCGCCACTTGGTGCAATGCCATGCTTATCAGATTCAACGAACGGGGCGTCAAACAAAACAAAGCAGCAATCGAGCGTATGGGTCTTTCGAGATGAGCAGAAACCAACTAAAGTGGCGCGCGTGCAAAGTACCTCTACGCGGATGATTGCTTCTTTTTGTAATAAAACTGGACACGTGGCTACTGTTGCTTTGGAGAATCGTTGTACCGTGAATAGTGATTGGTGCACGACCATTTGTTTGCCGGAAGTTATTGACAAACTCCGTAAAAATAACTGTAAACGCCGTATCATCTTGCACCACGATAATGCCAGTTCTCACACGGCCAGACAAATGAATTTTTGAAGGTGAACAACGTTGACCTTTTGAGCCATCTCGCGTACAGTCCCGACCTGGCACCTTGTGACTTTATTTATTTCCAAAAATTAAGAACCAGTAACTCGGTCAACGATTTTCATCACCTGAAGAGGCTGTCGAGAAGAGTATGAAAAATATGTTTCAGAGATTGTCACGGAGGAGTGGCATAAAATGTTTTCAAAATTGGTTCATTCGTATGAAAAAGTGTATTAACGCTAACGGAAAATATTTTGAATAACAATAAGTTCATTTCTGACCATTTATAGTATTTTTTCTTATTCATTCCGGAAACTTATAGTGCGCCACACATATAAAGTAAAAACGTATTTATTACGTTGTGTAGATTTAAAAACCTCGCACTGTTAGCACATATATTTCAAATATTTATCCAATTTTCTTTCTAACTAGAGTTCTTTGTATTTTTTATTATATTTAATTCTTGAAATTATGGTTTATAATCAAAACACTGACTATTATATTAACTTGTTTTTATAATACTTTTGAGTAATAGAGTTGTTCCATATTTTGTGTTTAAGATATTTATGTAAGTTATCGTAGACATTAAGTTATCGTAGACATTCTTTAAGATTTCATATTTCTTCTTGTAAGTGGAATCGTCTTCTTGAATGATGTAATCTAGTTCCCAGTGTATTTTTTCTATATTTTCTCCTACTAGGATTTTCAAACCATCTTCAAGTTCCCTTTTCTCCATAATAATTTCTTGAGAAATTTTCTCCACAGCTCGCTCGAAGGTCTCGCTCGGTCTAAAGTTACAATATTGTTGTCGTAACAAGTCTTGCTGTTTTTCTTTAGTTTCCGTTGTTTCGCGAAGAGGTACGTTGAATTTAATATCTTGAAAATCAAAATTCGATGACGTAGCACGTGCTTTCGTAGTTGAAGTTGATGGGTCAGAGGTAGCTTCTTGTTCATATACATTTGAAGGTTTAGAAGTTAACGCTGACTTCCGTTGCAGTATGTCTTGCAGCACTTCTTCGTATAAGGTTTTATCTTCGCCTATACATCATCCTGGAAGTATTGGATATCCGTTTGTCCTGATTTCACGAGTTGCGAATGGTAGCCCACAAATTTTTCCCAGTTAAGAGTTAAGGCGCTTCGGATGTTCCTCCAGTTAGTCAAGGGTCTTCCTCGCGGAATTGTCTTTCTTGTAGTTTCCACATATTTGTTTCAGTATTAGGAAAATTGATTCCTGGTGTAATAAGTTCCGCGACTTCTGTCGCCATTATTTGTTAATAAGTAGCTAACTTGTTGTTCTATGTAGTAAATAAATAGTAAGTATTAGTTTTTATACAGTAAGTTGAATGAAATCCTTTGTCACGTATCGCCGTAGGTTCACTAGTTCTTGAAAATCGTGAAGTTTCACATGTTGTTTCACTACTCCCGCTCCTCTATGGCGTTATATGCGCCTTCTCAATGCGATTGGAGAAACTCGCTTGTGGGAGGTCAACCGCACCGATTCGCTAATGTCACAAAGAAATTTGAAGCGAAGAAAATCGTGGCTCGAAGAACCATGTATTATGGTCTTAGACGTCTCGGATATTAGTTAGGTTAAGACGCGCATACCGCCACTACTGGTGTTCTGTTGGCACCGCTTTAGCACGCCCTGTCAGTTTGTAATATAGCCAGGAGAGTAGTAGCTTCCGCAGTCTCCGTAGCCTCCATACATCTTGCTTAGTAAGTTTAAAGTTCAAAATTCAAAAGGATAAAGAAAAAGTGGTAATAAATCCAGTTTTATAAATATTATTCCCGTTTTATTAATATTTGTGATCTTTAAAATGTTTATCGCACAAGAGATTATTGGTATGTGGTAAACGGTTCAAAATATTAACGAAAAGACGTGTTCGCTGCCGCGCTCGGGCAGGGAGTGACGATGGAACGAAACAAAAGGAATGATTAAAAAACGATTCAAAATTTAAAAACGAGTAGCGGAGCCAAAGAAAAGGCGATAAAAAGGTGGGATGACGATGTGATCTCCTTACATCGTTGTGTGAGTTGACGTAAACCACGGATTTAAGGTAAAAGTATAGTGTAATTGTTTATACAGTTGGATGCTCACCCGTGGCCTACCGTTAGTGGCGCGATTTGTCAACTGACTTAAAATTAATTCGATCTGCTTTAAATAATACGGACAAGATCAGCTTGAGACCGTATTCTGTACTTGCCCCTAATACTGTAGGTGTCCCGATTCCCCTGATTCGAATAATTTCAATAATCACTTAATCACACAAAATAAAAGTACAAGCAAGAATAAAAATTGATGAGGTGTAAATTCAGAACGCATCCGAAGATAATCTTTTTCTTGTAATTAAAAAAAACTGATGTTCAAATGTTTTTCTTTTATCTACTGTTTTCCTCGCTTTAGAGAGGTAAAAAGTTGCGAGTTTCGCTCGACAGCAAAGTTGTTTTGCGTCTCGCGCCTTGAAACCCTCGCTCCGCTCAGGAATCTATTTTTGAACGACTCAGTTTTTTTATTTATCAGGTTTCAATGCAAGCACTCGCGTCAAATAACAACTTTGCAGCCTTGCATAACAAATAACTACTTTTGTATTGCTTTACATTAACAAATTTTACTTTGCTTTATCTATTTTTTAAGTGTTTTTATGTCTTTACCCTAAGCGCCCAGTTACACGAGAAGAAAGTTTTCAAGCGGCCGCCGCGCGGCGACCGCCCAGTTACTACGTCTTCATGTACATTAATAGCGAATCTGAGTTCTATTTATTATGCAACAACATTTAAATTCCTCTCAACAAAATTATCATCATCATATATCATCTCATTTAAATTAAAACGTAAAAGCTACACAAATAAAGCGTATTTTGCCATGACACGCACGCGGTCGCTGCGCGGCGGCAACGCGGACTCCGCTCGGCGACCGCGCGGCGGGTTGCGCGGAGTGAGCGCGATAAAATTCGTGTCGAATAAATGCGCCTAAGGAGTAAACTTAGGTATTTCATTATTAAACCTAAATGATGAAAGATGCTGATCGCGCGCATTGTCGCACTTACATTAATTACACGTGTGTGCATTTTTATTGTAATACAGTACGGTGCTTCAAATATCTTATGTTAACTTACCTTATCAGAGCCAGTGGCTCGGATACACTTATTCTGGGCAACGTACAAATCCCATTAAATATATAAGTTACATTAGTACAAACATTGTACATACATACATTCGCTTATGAGCCCCAATACATTCATTCTGTTCGGGGAGTTTAGTTCCATTCCGTCACCGCTAGATGGCATTAATTGGAGACTGAAACGCGGTAGCGAAATGTTCACGATCCGACTATATAAGCATATAATATTTTGTTAAGTTTTGAGTTTTGTTTGGAGTCTAATTAAAAGTGTTAGTAGTGAATTGGTGTCTCATTTGTATTGCCCAGTACAAAGTGGTCCATCAGAGCCGGATAATAAGTGTCAAGTGAAATTTTTGGGCATTATAAATTTGTGGAAGTGTTTTGCTACGCAAGTGTTTGGACTTAGTGAAAAAAAAGAGACATAAGACTTAGAAAAATTCAGTGAGACTTTAACTTAGAAAAATTCAGTGAGACTTTAACTTAGAAAAATTATGCGCATCTTCAACTTAGAAAAATTCTGTGAATTTTTAACTTAGAAAAATTACATGTGTATGGACTTATAAAATTTTGCGAACTTTTGGACTTGTAATTTTGCGAACTTTGTGAACTTATAAAAATTTTAGTAACTTTTGGACTAATGAAATTTCGGCAAAATGGAGGAAGTTGTAGCACAACAGGAAAATACTTTGTGTCTTATAAAAAAGATGGGAGTGAACTTCAAAAAGTCACCAATAGCTCGGTTGACAAAGGGATACATACAAACAAGACTCGAGACCGTGTCACAATATTGGGAAGAGTTCAGACAAGTACACTCTGAACTTACAAAAGTTACCCCGCCAACTAAAAAGAGAGAAATCCCATACTTTGTAGAAGACTATTTCGATAAAGGAGAAGAGGAGTACTTAAATACAAAAACAGATATGCAAGACAAATTAGAGGCATTGCTGAATGAAGAGACTACAGAAACTGGAGGAGATAGAATTCATATGCAAGAAGTTAAGTTACCCAAGATAAACATACCGCAATTTAGTGGACACTACAGTGAGTGGAGTACCTTTAGAGATTTGTTTAATTCTTTAATAAACGAAAATAAGAGCATAAGCAGTGTACAAAAGCTCCATTATCTCAAGAGTAGTATGAGTGGAGAGGCAGAGTAACTTTTAAAGCATATTCCTGTTACGGAGCGCAACTACGAGATAGCATGGACTACCCTTACCAACAGATACAACAACAAAAGAGTCATTGTGAATTCTATATTGAACAAATTATTTAATCAAAAGAAATTGAGTTCAGGATCAGCCAGAGGCATTAAAGAACTAATGGACACCACTAATGAGTGCATAAATAATTTGAAGAGCAACGATGTTTCCGTTCTAAACTGGGACATTATAATAATTTACATGCTGGTAAACAAGTTAGACGAGGAGTCACATAAGAGTTGGGAGGAAGAACTTGGTTCTTTGCCAGGAGATAACTTACCTTCACTAGAAACCTTCATCAAATATCTGGAAACAAGATTTCGAGTACTAGAGATGATCCAAACTTCTTCTACTACTAGAGAGACGAGAGAGAGAGTTATAAACAAACCGAAATCATTTGTTACTACAACATCTGCACCAACTTCCTTCAAATGTACCCTATGTAATGAGAATCATGGGCTAATTTACTGCAAGAAATTTACAAACCTTAGTGTTACTGATCGAGTGCAACATGTTACTCAATCAATGTTATGCTGCAATTGCCTATCTCCAAAACATAGTGCAAAATTTTGTAGAAGCCAAGGCACTTGTAAACAGTCTAACCGACGACACCATACTTTACTACATTATCCAAGAGGTATGGCTTTAAACACTCCAACGAGCACCGAGACTAAGAGAGGACCTGAAACGAAGAAACAACCAGAAACAGAGATTAGTGGAACCATAAAGTCGCATCTAGTCACTCAAGGTCAAAATTCCTTGATGGCAACAGCTTTAGTTCATGTTGAGACAGGCCAAGGATTACAACTGGTTAGAGCCCTAATAGATCCTTGCTCTCAGGAATCTTTTATTAGCGAAGAGACTGCGCAGAGACTACAACTGAGACGGAAGTTCGTTAAAGGTCACGTGACAGGAGTTGACCAGATGACTTCAAAAATAAACTATACAGCCGAAATCCAGTTGCTTTCGAGAATTAATACAAATTTTAAATTACGCTGCGTTGCGTTCGTAGTGAGACAGGTGACAGATATTCTACCTGGCTATCAAATGAGTCATGAGTCTTGGACTCATCTGCAAAACTTGAGTTTGGCAGATCCTACCTATCATCAACCTGGTAGTGTAGATCTGTTACTGGGAGTAAACATATACACAGATATACTAATGAGTGGAGTTGTTCGAGGAGAGCCTGAGTCGCCCATCGCCCAACAAACACAGTTGGGATGGATTATTTCCGGAGGAGTACAGAAAGAGACAGGTCAGCGAGGAATCGTGAGCATGCATCTAAACCTATCATTGGATGGTATGCTAGAGAGATTTTGGGAGTCAGAGCAATTAGAGTCAGAGGAGAACGACAGTCTCACCCCACTAGAAGTTCGAGCTGAGGAGATTTACGAGAAGACAGTGACGAGAGAATCCAATGGGAGATACGTTGTAGCGCTTCCATTTAAGAGTGATACACCTATTTTACCTGAGAAATCAAGAGAAATTGCCAGGAGGAGTTTGAGACAATTAGAAAAAAGATTGTCGACCAATGAGAAACTAAGAACAGAGTACAATAGAGTCATGCAAGAATACATTAACCTGAAACACATAGAGACTGTAAACGAGAACGAGCCTAGTGACAGGGCAGTTTATTTGCCACACCACGCAGTGGTTCGAGAAGATAAAGACACAACAAAAGTTAGAGTAGTTTACAATGCGTCACAAGAGGGAGAGAACGGAGTTTCTCTCAATGAACAACTATTAATTGGTCCTTCACTTCAACAAGAGCTACGAGATACGCTGTTAAGGTGGCGAATGCATAAGACATGTTTTATTGCAGACATTATCAAAATGTATCGTCAAATACTAGTAAGACGAGAAGATGTTGATTACCAACGAATTTTGTGGAGATTTCGACCTGAAGATCCTGTAAAAGATTACCGACTACTTACCGTTACCTTTGGCACTGCTTGTGCACCATACTTGGCTATCAAGACTTTGAAGCAAATCGCGAAAGACGAAGGACAGGCTGAGAAGTTTTCAAGAGCAAGAGAGATTATTAATCAAGATTTTTACGTTGACGACTGTTTATCGGGAAGTCATGATGAAGATACAGCTATCGAAGTACAGAGAGAGTTGACAGAGGTGTTAAAGAGAGGAGGATTTGAGCTTCAAAAATGGTGTTCCAACAGCGAAAAATTTATGAACGAGATTGAGCCTGAAAGACGAGCAAATGGTATAGAAGTGAACTTAAACAGGAAGGCGAAAGTAAAGACACTAGGAATAATTTGGAATGTGAGAGAAGACGAGTTGCAAGTCACGAGCGAAATAAACATCCTAGAGGAAAAGAAAATCACAAAAAGAAATGTATTATCAGTCATTGCATCTCTTTTTGATCCCATGGGTTGGCTTGCTCCAGTTATCGCGTTAGCAAAGATTTTCATGCAAAAACTTTGGATTCTTAGTTTGTCCTGGGATGAAGAGTTACCTATCGATTATTGTAACGAGTGGATAGAGTTTAGATCACAGATTCATATACTTGAATAGATCCAATTACCTAGATGGATTGGAACGACAAATAAGCATCAATCAATAGAGCTACACGGATTTGCAGATGCTTCTACCTTAGCTTATGCCGCAGTGATTTACAGTAGAGTGACAACATCCGACGGACGAGTAGAAACATCACAAAAACAAAGGTAGCCCCAGTTAAGCAAATAACATTACCACGACTTGAGTTGTGCGCCGCTGTGTTGCTTAGCAAGTTGTTGAAACATGTGGCCACTGCAATGCGAATACCATATGATCATACCTACGCATGGTCGGACTCGCAGATAGTGTTAGCTTGGGTTCGAGGAGATCCATTAAGATGGAAACCATACGTCAAAAACCGCGTAATTGAGATCAGCAATACAATCCAAACTACCTGGTCTTACGTCGGCACTAAAGAAAATCCTGCCGATCCAGCATCCCGAGGAGTAGTACCTGAAAAACTAAAGGACAACGAATTATGGTGGTCAGGACCATCATATTTAAAGCAAAGAGATTACGAGATACCTACCTGCAAAGTTCCTGAGACTGACGTCGAGAGACGAGAAATTATAACCTGTGCTACAATGACAGTAAAACCATATAATGAAGACGTCATACTAAGCCTATTACGAAGATATTCGTCCCTGAAAAAACTGGTCGCAGTAGTTGCCTGGATCTTGAGATGGCTGCACCTGAAAAGAGAAAAAATTAGTAAAGATAACTTACCTGCATTTGTGAATTATGAAGAACGTAAAAAGGCACTTACCACTTGTATCAAACTTTCCCAGAAAGTAGAATTTGCCGAAGAGATTGAACAATTGAGAAACGGAAAGCCGTTGATGAACAGAAGCCGTTTATCATCACTTACCCCTTTTCTAGATGAACAAGGTGTGTTAAGAGTTGGAGGACGCCTGAAACATGCAGACTTGGATTTTTTGAGCAAACATCCGATTATAATATCGAAGAATAATGCACTCTTGCAGCTGATTCTTGTTGAGGCTCATGAGAAAACTCTGCATGGCGGACCACAAATGATGGTAACTCACCTTAGAACGAGATATTGGTTAATTGACGCTGGTAATTCGGTGAAAAAATTCGCAAGAAATTGTATGACGTATGCCAGACAGAGAACCGTCACAAGAACACAATTAATGGGCGCTTTACCTGAATGTCGAGTGAAACCTTCACGACCGTTTTCTATCACTGGAGTTGACTTTGCCGGTCCTATTAACGCTAGACTGAGTAAAGGACGAGGAAGCAAATCATTTAAAGCGTATATTAGCTTATTCATATGTATGGTCACCAAAGCCATTCACATTGAACTAGTCAGTGATATGACAACCGAGGCGTTCATGGCTGCGTACCGAAGATTTACTTCGAGAAGAGGTATTTGCAAAGAGATGTGGAGCGACCACGGTACCACATTCGTCGCTGCAAGCAAAGTACTGATGGAGATGTGGAAGCAAGGGAGAGCAAGTGTACCCGAGGAGCTTAGATCATTGCTGGACAAAGAAGGCACAAAATGGAAATTCATACCCCCGGGAGCCCCAAATTTCGGAGGTTTATGGGAAGCGGGTGTAAAATCTATTAAATTCCATTTGAAGCGCACAATGGAAGATTCGACTCTTACGTTTGAAGAGCTGAACACGTTGCTCATACAGATAGAGGCAACCTTAAACTCAAGACCTTTGTCGCCAATCAGTGATGACCCCAGAGATTTAGAGCCGCTTACCCCTGCTCATTTTTTAGTCGGAGAACCCCTCAACACTATTCCCGAGCGACCCCTTCTGGACGTTAAAATGCATTCTTTAACGAGATGGCAATTAATTCAAGTAATGACACAAGCCTTTTGGAAAAAATGGTAATCAGAGTATTTAAACCGATTGCAACAACGTCCTAAGTGTCTACCGTAAAAAAGGAATTTGAGATAGGAGATTTAGTACTGCTTAAAGATTATAGATGCCCGCCTAGCAAATGGTTGCTTGGTCGAATTGTTACAAAGTACCCTGGACGAGACGCTTTGACAAGAACGTACGACGTTCGTACTCATACCGGAGTTTATACAAGAACGGTGACTAAACTCTGCCCATTACCAGACGTATGAAAGGAAGAAGTCCTTTGGTGGGGAGTATGTTCGGGGAGTTTAGTTCCATTCCGTCACCGCTAGATGGCATTAGTTGGAGACTGAAACGCGGTAGCGAAATGTTCACGATCCGACTATATAAGCATAAAATATTTTGTTAAGTTTTGAGTTTTGTTTGGAGTCTAATTAAAAGTGTTAGTAGTGAATTGGTGTCTCATTTGTATTGCCCAGTACACATTCATTCATCATAAGCTCAAACTTTATACAAACATTAACTTTATTAAATTAACATTAATTAGGAGGTTTAAAACGAACAAATTACACGAGTACAATACACGTCCAATTGTAACCATTTATACATTTTTATTTCCCATCAGGTGAGACTGAGCTTGTGGTGAGCTTACAATGATTAAAAAAAAGCTGTTGGAACAAAATTCCGGAAAACCCGAATCATGGTTCAACTCTCTAACCTGAATGACTTGATCTACGTAATCCTAGTCAATTAAAAAGAAAATTAACGGATGGAGCAGCTGCATAAAATTGAGCTGAATACAATTTTTGGCAACGGAATCTTTACGGGAAAATTTACTTTACTTTAATTTGCCCTTTAAAAAGCTTTTTGAATAATGGCAAGTGAACCATGGTTTAAGTTTTTTAGAAGTCTAGTAAAATTCTTTATTTCACTTACTTTTTCGTTACATCCCGTGGATAATGACGAATGACATGGACACTAGCACATCTAGTCGCGCAGGCGCACGGCGCGGCTCACAGGTGGCGGCGAACCCAGCAGGTGCAAGCCGGGGCGCTCGGCCACGCTAGTAACACCGCTGTCTACGATGTACAGCGGTGGGCTGCAGTTCTGATCTTCAGAAGGCTCCTCGGCAATGCTGGGGTCCGCAAATTGCTCTGGCATTACGCTAGACACTCCCTTTGGCATGCGACATGATGAGTTGTTGAAGATACTAATGAGAGATGTCACTATATTTTTGGCAAATTTCCGTTTCATGAATCGACTATTCACCATTCTCGTACTTCCTTGTGGAAATTCATCAGCTCTATTCTTGTCTCGTTTAACTTTAGGACCAGTTCCTTGAATACGTTTTTTTTTATTGCAGTTATGTTGCGTTTCGTGTTGAAATCTCTCTTTACTTCTATTCTTTTTTCTTTTGCTCAATACCTTTTCAACGATTCTATGAAGACCAGATTTGGACGTTGACGAATCATTTTGTTGTGTGAAAATCAATTGATTTATATCAACTGTACTCTCAGTTTCGTCATTCGAGTATGTGAAAACTGTTTCCGCAACATTAGTGCACACTGGCAATTGTCGTGACTGTACGGTTTTGTAACTTATTTTTGGTGCGATGATGTCATTATTGACACTTAGTGCAGTAGGAGGGATATTGTGTTCGTGTATTCGACGACGCCTAGTTGATTGCTGTTTCGTTTTCGTTAGCGTAACGTTATTGATTACTTTGGAGCTTTGGGCTGTGCTGGTAATAGCAACAGCGTCATGGTCTTCTGAGTATTTATCTGGAGGACTCAAAGATCTGCGACCAGGGTATGCGCTTTTCGGGGTCAGGATGTTTTGTTGCCAGTTTTCTTTCGCTACGTAATTATCAGCTTTATTTTGGTATTTGTGAAAAGTTTCTTGGCGTTGTGACTGCCTGTGGGTGGGCAGTATAAATTCAGAATCACTATTGTCTATACTCCGTGCTAGCAATGCAGCCATAGCCATCGTCTGCGCTGCTTGGGACAGAGACATCTTCATTGATTTGGAGGATATTAAATTCGCTTCTCGTTCTTCTTGTTCTTTCTGCAAAGCCTCTTGTGCCGCTAGTATATCCGGTGGAATTTTCACTTTACAGAGACCTTTTTGCCAATCTCTACAGCCACAGAATTCCGCTTCAGGCTTCCGCATTTCTGATAATCTTCTTCGAAACTCTTCGTCTCTTTTCGCTTGTCGTACTTGTTCCTTCTGTTGTAGTTTTAACTTCTTTTCTCTCGCCAAGTCTTTCCGTCTCTGTTCCTTCAGAATTTGTTCCTGTTCCTTCATTTGATGTTTTATTCTCTCTGCTGCTGCCTTCATTTCTATTTTGTCTTTAGCTGCTTCGACACGATTAAGTTTACCTTCTCTTTTTTGCACTTGCTTCATCGCTTTTAGTTTTGCCTTTTCTATTCTAATTTTTTCCTGCTCCTCTTTCAGTTTTTCATCTTTTGTACGCATTTTCGCCATAATGTCTCGACCTGACAAGCCCTTTTCTCTACACTTTTTACATTTTCTACTTCTGCATTTTTTCCTTCTTCTTGTTCTAAAACCAGGGCCGAACTTTGGTTTGCAAATACAAGGAGGTCCCCCGTCTAGAGGTGATGGTGTTTTACAGCTACAAGGCCTATCGCTTCCGCTTTTCTTACAGGTACATTTAGAATCAGGACCTGGACGACAGACGCATTGTTTTTCGTACTGTATATTTTGTTCTCGTAGTGGTCCTGGATCTGAGTCGGTTTGCATAATTATTGCTCTGACTCTCGGTTTAGGTTTTGGCTTTGTATCATACAAACTTCTAGGGCGAGGTCTAGGGGTTTTGGAATCCATTGGTATCGAAGGACGTATTGATTTGTCTTGTGAGGTCGCTACAATTACACTGGATCTACGTAAATGTCTAGATGAAACGCTCCTCTTGTCATATGTATTTTCGATTTCCTCGACTGATCCCAATTCGTCTAGTTCATCTAAGTCATACATTTCCTCACTTAACGCTGTGCCTGGCTCAATAGGAGGTAGATCAATTTGAATCATAAGATCTCGCGTCTCTACCGGAGGAGGCGGTGGCTGTGGTGGCAGGTCGTCCACGGTAAGTACCAATCGCTCGTACACAATTTCTTGTTCAGGTGCGGGATCTGGAGGACACCAAGTGTTCCACGCACTTAAAGTTTCATGCTTTCTGGCCTCTATAATTTTGAATTCTCTTGCTTTACATTCGCAAAAGACTTTTGGTTTAATTTTTTTTTTTCGGGCTCTTTGCTTAGCTCTTTCAATTCTCTTTCTTTCCCTTATTTTTTCCTTCATCTTATACTCTCTAGCTTCCCTTTTTTTCTCTTCAAGTGCTTCCTTCTCCGCTTGTTTTTTTTCTTTGTCTACCATAGGAGCTGTTGATTTATTTTTTTTTTGCTTTTCTTTTTTTTTACGCTGTCGTTGTGCCTTCATAGGAGCATCGTCTTGGATGTAATCTTCATATACAAGAGACGGATCGTAAGCCATAGCGATGTCCCTTTCACCAACTTGTATTGCTCTGAAAATCATTGATAAGACATTGCTTTGGAAAACATTGAACGTCTGTAGATATTACTTAAGAAAAAATATTACAAACAATCATGATTTAAGACCAAAATTACCTACAAATTCGTGCTTACGCATCCGTAGCTTCGACTGACGTAAGTATTATTAGAAAGCACCTATTGATCGTTGTGAAATAAACCACTCACCGAGTCCTGTGTGTATCTGTAAATATACATTGAATAATTAAGTAATAAAAGCTTTTGTTTCTTATTGTTGTCCTTTGAAGTCTGTTTGTTTGTTCAAATTTAGACGTGAGCAGAAGTTTTCTAAAACAAAATTAGATAAAAATAACATAGTGCCGGATTTTGCCCGAACATGGATACAAATGTTTTTGTAGGAGGGTAAATTTGAATGTATTCTAAGGAAATCAGATCGACAAAGAAACCAAGCCCAATCACAAATAATGAACTGTATTTTTACGGTGTAAAGTTATATTATGTTATATAAACAGCACTCTTTGCAAGTGCGGTTTATATAACTTTATAGGTTCCTATAAAATGGAATGTAAAAAAAGTTATGCAATTTGGTAATCACAATGAAATGACGGGAACATACACACTCACTTCGCAATTCAAAGTCTATATAATAATAATAACCAATGGTGATGGCATGGCAAGGGAAGGAGGAAACTGAACGATGCATTACTGAGCAGTTGAGTGTTGTAAGCCATTGTCTTTTTGAAATTATCAACTTGTCACTGGACGATCGCTAGAAGCAAAAGTGCTCATGTTTAAGGAGGACGAAAAACGTGAATGACAAAATTTTGTGCAAGTGCTAAAATCAATTTTATTTAAAAAAAGTATTGATTACAAAGATACCACAACCATCAATTTATACATAATTATCATAATTTTCGGACAATCACAAACGCTTCGGAAATCTTTTTTAGGCGTACCTACTCGAGGTTTAGGCATTGAAAGAGTACTTTCAAATTATTGTAGTATAAATCACAGATGTCCAAAATATAAGTGAATGCAGGTGTGCTAAGCCTTCTATTTCTAACGAAATTGAAATAGGAGGTTTTCATTTTCTGCAATTTTAATTATTTATTTCAACATATTAACAATATACAAAAGCTTAAACATCAACAAACAATAATTTAACACATGCACTACGGAGACAAGAAAATATTCTAGTTCCGGATACAAAGCACAAATGACATCTATCAGGCGACGAAATGGCGGCACAGAAAATGTTTATGATATTCGTACTGATATATTGCAAAATGTGAATTGTTCTAAATTTTAGCAGATGATAGATTGAAAAGAGTTCCAAACGTTTATTATCGTCAGAAATAGGAAACTACCACTTGAAGTGAATTTTTTGTTCGGTTATTCCATTTGTTTATATTTTGGACATCTAATTACGATTTGTACAATTTGTACGGATTTTGACAATCCCACCTTATTGAGCGCGATAACTTGGTAAACAGCAATTGTTGAATTAGAGCATCTCGTAAGGCATCAGGTACACGACACCGAAGCCGCACCGCAACTTTATGAATACGAATAAAAATCACGCACGAGCTGCTGTATCGCAATCGCACCGCCATTTTGTGTACACGCCGCCGCCGGCTCTCGGTGTTGTACCGCCTGCACAGTCGTTCATTACTTATATTATCCTCTCACCACTTTTGGAGATGATCGATTACAGAAGTATGTACATATTATGCAGGGTGGAACAGAATGGGAAGCGGTGGTCTCCTTTTGTGCAGAGGTTATGTCGCAAAAGGAGGCCGCAGAGCGAGTGCGCGAGGACGCGGCGGACGCGCACCCGCTCCGGCGCAGACGTACGGGGAGAAGGCGAAGGCAGTACGCTGCTCGCCTGATCCCCTAGTGAGACCAGCGGGTTCTGGACAGGGACTCCGGAGCCTGCATTGCACGGCCTCACTCGTCTGGGGGGCGGGTCGGAGGACAACCGACTCGCCCCTCCGTTGGCGTGGGAGCCCTGGCGCAAGCAAGGGCGGCCGAGCGGCGTCGTGGTGAATGTTCACTGATCCCACGGCGCCGACTCAACCGGCGAGAGGGAAACCCGGGGGGGTTTTAGTGGGGTAGGCCCTCCAGTCTGGAGGCAGAGTCCCCACATAACCCCTGAGGCTCCCTGGGCTCAAGGGTATCCATAAAGATTTCCCCCCCGTCAAAAAAAAAAAGGGTGGAACAGAATGACCGACAAAGCCGAAAACTGTGAACAGTCTTAAATATGTATACTAATCGTACTCAAAGTCTTTTTGCTCTAAGTGTAATAGTTTCCAAATTATTCAATGAAAAAGATGTGTTTGCAAAGTCTGTGTTGTCAACACTAAATTATAAAACAACAGCTGTTTGGAGGCAACTATTGGGAGGTACTCAGGGCAGTTCGGTGCGCTGTTTCCAAGCGGAAACGGACGCGTTTCACTACTCAGTGAGAATTACATATTATTATAATTCGAGTTTCGCGCGGTTTAATAGGCTGCTGCGCGTATGTGGCAGTGGGTTCCCAACAACTCCGAGCCAATGAGCTTTTGGGGTTTATTCAACATGCCATGGATACCATAGACGACGTCAGCATTGTGCAGATCTGCAAATCCAACTTCAACGAAGATGCTGTTGTTCCAGAGCCTCGGCAAAGCCGAGCAGATCTCTTCTCGCCGGAGGAATGGTGGCGTGAAGAGTCTCCAGGATATTATCACACTTCTAAAGGAGACTGACCTGGACTACTTGCCTATATTCGTGGCGAAGGAGGAGTTATTAAATAACGCTGCACCAGAAACCTCTAAAGTAAACATGCGTCGTGGGGGGCAAAATGCATCAAACGTCACGCGTGTACATGTCAGCCCCTGCACATGCATACGCCGCTGTAGCTGCTTCTACCAGTGGACCCGCCACTTCGAAACTCGAGGGACGGCAACCGGCTAAGGGAAAAAGCAATCCCCGTGTACCTGTCTCTGAAGTTGCAAAATCACAGAGGCAGACGGACCAGTATGACGAAGACGGCTTCGCAAAGATGGTGACGACGAAGAGGAAGCCCACCAACTGCAACCTGTGTGGCACAGCACCGACAGGATCGAACTTTTTACTGCGTCTGGCTATACCGACGACGCTGCTGTATCTGTTGCGACTACATTACTACAAGAAGTCTGAGCAGATAGTGGAGTACATCAGATTAAAAGCCAAATACACCCTGAGTGTCGAGCGGTTGGAGACCCATCACAACGTTAACTTTAATTACTTTGTGGTGAGAGTGCAGACCGAATATCTGTCGACCTTCATGAAGGAAGAGTTTTGGCCACAGGGTGTCATATATCAGTGATTCCGCGGCCGTTTACCTGACACCAGATTGCGCCACACGTCGCCGACAAGTGCAATTCGTGTAGATTAATAATTTAATTCATTATTTTGTTATATTATATTGTATGTATGTTAGTCCTTTAGGAGTTGAGCTGGTTGATGATTAAAACTCGCACTCGCACACTATAAAGATTTGATCTGGCTGCGCGGCGCGCCAGTACCAACTCGATGTCCTTTTAATTCAAGAAACCTTTTTGAAACCCTCCGCTCGAACCCCCATGTTTGCTAACTATTGCGCGGTCCGTTACGATAGATTAAACTCTCGGCGGTACCATCATAATATTACAAACGATCATTTCACTGCATTCCTCTCGACCCACCCCCTACAACTTACGTCGAGGCATCGGCGTGTCGGCTCGGCTTCACCGGCCACCCACCGATTACCCTCATTTCGACCTACCTGTCCCCTGATACTTCCCGATCGCTAATTCGCGAAGATCTTCAAGCCCTCTTGTCCCTAGGAGATTTTGTCCTTCTGAGTGGCGACCTTAACGCCAAAAATACTGCGTGGAATTGTAACACCACCAACCCGCGCGGTAATATCGTCATGACAGTATCCGAATCCATGCATTTCGATATAACAATAATAATAATAATAATAATAATAATAAAATCTCTTTATTGCCTCCAATGTAAACAGAACTTGTACAAAAAAAACGAAACTAAATAAAACTGAATAAGTCTGATAGGAATTAAATAAGTCAATAAATGTCATAAAAAATAAAGAGAAGAAAGAAAAAACAAGTGAAATATAATGAAATGGGGTTAGGTAATCCTAATGCTATTCCAGGCGCGTGCGTGCGTGCGTGCAAAAACGGATGCATGCATTCTGTATTCGCTGTATTGCTCTCTCGGTATTGCTGTTTATTCTAGGGCCATAAACGGAAGCACGATAATTAAAAGGCGATAACACAAACAGGTCCGTCAAAAGAAGGCGAATATCCTCTTTAAGATATTGTCTAATTTTATAAAGAATTTTTAACTTGAAAAAACCGTTTCGAATTTTAATATTTATGTGCTCTACATATCTTTGTTCACTATCCAAGACTAGTCCGAGATTACGCGCTGAGGTTACCAACTCGAGTTCGATGTCATTAATTTTGATTTTTTCGTCACATTCGAGGACTGTCTTTACCTGGAGTTTGGTACCTAGTATTAATGTTTGGGACTTAACTGGATTTAAAAGAAGACAATTCTTTTTTGACCATGAATAAACTTTTTGAAGATCATGATTAATTTTCCTGATTGCCTCTCCGCTATCTTTTCCATGAAAAGAGTAATAGAGCTGGGTATCATCCGCGTACAAGTGATATTTACACGTCTCTATGTGCCCAGGAAGATCAGCAGTAAAAATTGAGAACATTATCGGACTTAGTAGAGAGCCCTGGGGCACACCTCTGTCTAACGATTTAAGTGACGAAAACCTCCTTGAGCCATCTTTGTCGTTAACGACTACCATCTGCTCTCTATTTGTCAGGAATGATTTGAACCATTTACACGCACCCAGGGAAAAGCCATAGCATTTTAACTTTGCTAGTAGTAGATCCGGATGTAAACAATCAAAAGCCAGGGAGTAGTCTAAGAGTATCATGATAGAGCTCAGACCTCTATCGGACGCCTCCGTCAGGTCGTCTGTGACGTGTAGTAATGCTGTCTCAGTGCCGTGCCATTATCACTCACTAACGTATGGGGCACCCCTACTCTTGACATGTAATCGTACAATTTTCTTATAACTGCTGTCTAGCCATATGAATTAGACATCAAGTAGCAGTCTACCCATTTGCTATAGGCATCTACAATAATCAAAAACATTTGGTTATTTAGTGGTTAAAATAA